TCCGGAGAGTTAGGCAATCCTTGTAGTTTTCTGGAAGCGCACCTCAGGCACAATCAAAATCTACCTCAACAAGTCAAAAAAATACGTCCCAAGAAAGTTATTCCCCTCTAAAATTTTTTCTTCGCCGCGTCCCGTTCTTCCAGCGCCCGGGTGATACCTGCCGCGCTCCAAGGCCGACGCGACGACGCGCAGACGCTTTCTGGCGCAACGGATTCATGTCTAGCACTCTTATTAACAAAAACAGGGGGGTCGCAACTGGACCCCTCGAGAGCTAGGGGGTCGCAAAAATCCCGAAAATGTTCGAACGTGACGGTTGACCCTGCTTTGTATGCTCGGCAGAGGTGAAGTCTCTGGTTGTACCATCTGGGTAATGCCGTACTTATTGATCGTTCGACTTGCTACCCGCTTCAGGTAGCTTCTGGCCACGGTTGAGCGCAGCTAGATGTAATGTCCAGAACATTTGTTGGTTAAGATTTGAGGACTGCGCACTGTGACGGTTTTTTACTGAAGTTGGTGAAAACTGCATGAAACCTCATTCTATTAGGAAGAAGATGTCATATCGTATAACAGAGCCTACATAAAAGAAAACAGAAATGAAGAGAATCAAAAAAATGAACATGACAGCGTGCACATACTGTAAACATAATTTTGGACCACCCTGTTCTTCAAATAGGAACGAATCAAATGTGAATGTAGCTGACAAAAGGCTATTAAGCATTGCTTTCCAATAGTCATAAAATCATGCAGTGGAGGTATAAAAGGTGTGGTGACCGGCAGTTTACCATCGCACTGAATCCCATTCAAATCATGGAACGTTTCCTTTCCGCTCTCGTCGTCATTGGAGTTACCCTGGTGAGTTCATGTGGTGCCTTATTCTTACAGCGATGAAGTGTTTGCTCAAACAATTCCTAAGAGCCGAAAAGAGATGGAAGAAAGACAAAATTCCCTTTCTTAAAGGCCTGCCATCCGGTGCCAGAACCAAAAAAGCATGGATTAGGGAACGAGACATCGAGTGTCGCACTGGTCACCCAGGCTCGTTACGATCCGAATCTAATCCAGCATTTCATGAACTACTTCCCACAGATGGATGTAAGTAGGGACTTTCTCACATTTCATTTACCGATTCACTAAGTACAGACTTTCTGGCCCTCAAAATTTGTTTCAGGTCGAGCAGCGCTCTAAGAAACTAGGAAAGTTCACCGACCTGGGTTCGGCAGACGTTGGAGGCAAATTCGCATTCACTTTCAAACTCCTTAATTCCGACTGTGAGAAGGTCGTGGAACGTTCTTGGACGTTCAGTAGCTTACAATACCGTTTTCTCTATACAGTGATATTTTAAGGTCTCTCATTGGCTGGACGATATCAAGAAGTCAGATTCAGTGATCGAGAGCACCACCCTGAAGTGCACTGGTCAACAGCAGTGAAGGCAACAGCAAGGGAAGTTGAGCCACGAGCTACAGATCAATCATTTCTTCGTGGAATAAACTCCTGAGAAATCGTTGGCTGACAGTTCTAGTTCTGTCTGGCAATGTGTTCTTGAAGGGCGGAAGCGGTGCGGTGGAGGGTGGCGCCGCTTTCACAAACACCCTTCGCGGACCACATCCTGGATTATAGGCCGTTTGGGCCAAACAAGTCTTCCATCCTTCTAGGGGCACCAATGGTATTTCCATAATTTTGACAGAATAAAGCACGGACACGAGTGCCCGTCGCAAGTTATTTGGGCCAAATACCAGTCAAAGTGCCGCTATATTCTGATGGAAGTAGAATGCGTGGTGCACCCAGAAAGGGACCGACCAGCGCCGTTTGCCTTACTTTTACGCGTCATTGACAAGTACCGGATATTTTGTAAGCTATGTGCAGTTCCCAATTTCAGAACTTCCTTTCCTTTCCGAATGTTAAGCTGAAACTGCATGAAAACAAAAATCTATGAACCTTCTGTCACATGCGTCTCATAGGCGTGAAATTTGAAGTATGGCCCCACTGCTCCAGTTTGATCCGTCGAAAAACTGCATTCACGAAGCAAGGGTCAGTCGAATCATCACCATGCTGCAGGCATGGTATGTTGTATTCGAAAGGCGGGGGTGCGGGACTTTTGGCTCGTCCGGGGTTGCACGCGACAAAGCGCGCCAACCTACGCGGCGATTTGGACGGTTCACGGACTTTTTGGGCATTCCTCGATGATCCTACCGTGAATGGCTAGAGCAAAGACGATTAGGTAACGGCGCCTGGCTCCGCTCCAAACCTGGAGGAGCAAGTGGGAATCCGAAGACTAAGCTTTGGAGGGGTGAGCGACTCTGGGGTGGGTGAGCAATTGCAGTGTGGCAAGAGTATGAATTTGTGAAATCACAGTAGTCAGGGGCCGCGATTAAGGCGAGGGAGCGCAGGTGGGAACATTGAAGCAAGGCGTTGAAGGAGCGAATTCCAAGTAGTTCGTATATGCTAGATATGATAGACGTCGCACCCGCATCGCGGCGCAGTGAGCCGCGCCATTTGCCGCATGCGACCTCGGACGAGCCAATGTCCGTCGCCCAAAGAACGGTAGGTGGTGTTGCAGGTTGCGCTGCATATCACGCACGCGGTTCAAGGACCAAGTCGTGGACCAAAAATTACACTCTTGGATCGGTAACTAGTACAGGCTACGATCTGAATGAAGATAGAGGGATGCGCCTCGCATTCTTTTCTATGCAGAATAGCAACAGCGTATTTGAATGCAATTTGGCCTATATAGGGATCTCCTGGAACCCATATATAGGTCCAAATTGCATTCGGTGTTATCTATGTCAGTGGTTCCATTCTCCCAGACAAGTCCGGTACCAGCTAACCAAACTAATAGCAATAGAAGGCTTGGTTGGCTTTGACGGCATAGGAACCAGGATTTGATCTCCAGAGCTTGTGCGTGGTAATGAGCGTCACCTGCGATCATACCATCTCTACTCTGTTAAGCGATAGGAGGGTTGGAATTCGGACTTCCCTCACTGTCCCAACTAACTGTGGGCCTAAAAAGCATTTCAACGCCCATGAACTTAGGGGTACATCCCATGTGTCTTCAGGTAAATCTTTTTGTGGCGGGTAGGATAGAGCTGTCCACGAAAGACACATACGTGCCATTCTACTAGCTCGAAAATGTGCGGCAAGGCCAATGCTATCAAGACCGCTTCGACCGCTTCCATTTTACCCTACGCACGCGCAAGAACCGCATCAGCTTGACCATGGGGTGTGCCATAAATGAGAAATAAGTGCGCGGCGGCGCAACGGCGGCGATCGACCGACATTAACCACGTTGAATCTCTCAAGTGCACATTTCGCTTTCAGTTCGAAGAAGATGGCCGTTCGTTGCTTCAAACTGTTTTCTAGCAACCAGCGTGGGACCATGATGATGGTTTTATAATCCACTGGAGATACATAAAAAAAACACTATTAGAATAAAAAGGATAAAGCATTTGCCGTTGATCAATCCCTTTTTGGGATGCGGCACGCATTCTACTTCCATTTGTACATTCGTAGTGGCGTTTGAATGCGATGTGGCCTATACAATGACTTGCGGGGGCCAGCCGATGTTCAAGTCAGTGTTTTTATCCTCCCAGACAAGTCTGGTACCAATTAACCGACCCCGGAGGGATGGAAGGCTTGGTTGGCCCGGGCGACTCACGACCCAGGATTTGATCCCCGGACCGCTCGCGTGGTGAGCGCGCCACTTGTCACTACACCACTTCCGCCCACGTTTTAGAATAGCCTATAATAAAAGCACCCCCGGGTAAAATTGCGTGCGAAGTGCGTAATAATAATGAAGATGGAGGTTTGAAATCAGAAGAGAAAGCAAAATAATTTGCCGAAACCAATGAATAGGGTCTGAACTTTTTGACATGTGGGTGTGGCACAACTGAGATTCAGAGCGAACAGAGAAGACAGAAAACGCGGTAGAGCGCGCCGTACGAGAGAGTACAGAGAAGCGACTGTTGCAGCCGACTGAACGCGACCCGCCGATCGTCGCTGAACTGGATAATTCGTGAAACCCTAGCACCATTACTGTGCTCTTCAGAGCTACGTCAACAGTGTATGGGTAAAGTTCGCAGCTAGCTCTTTCCTGCTTACCAAAGGAATCACTCCATTGGTCTTCTCCCGGATCTTCCCTTGGAGTGCGAGGCTATTTAACAACAACACGATCCCTTATCAAACAGTAGTCCAGTACCCCCACCCCCTCATCGATAACCATAGTCAGCACATACAGACCAACTAGACGTTCTCAAAAAAAAAACCCGAAATTTGGGCTTGATCATGATCGTCGCTGTCGGGGACATTCAGATATGACGACGACAAAAATAAAATTAATACATCCTACTCTTTTTGGACGAGTCCAACTGGATCAAAACAAACAAGTGGAGTCAACAGAACTAACAACTTCACTGAAAAAAGACCAATTTACATTGGAATATTTACATTTACCAGGGCGTTCCAGAAACTCGTGCCACTTTCGAATAATTTTTTGAGTCAGCACTGGCAGTGGGGCCATACTTCAGATTTCACGCCAATGAAACTCATGTGTCAGAAGGCTCACAGATTTTAGTTTTCATGCAGTTTCAACTCAAACATTCAAAAGGAAAGGAAGTTCTGAAATTGGGAATTGCACATAGCTTACAAAATATCCGGTAGTTGTCAATGACGCGTACAAATAAGGCAAACGGCGCTGGTCGGTCCCTTTCTGGAATGCACCACGCATTCTGCTTCCATCAGAATTATAGCGGCACTTTGACTGGTATTTGGCTCAAATAACTTGCGACGGGCACTTCGTGTCCGTGCTTTTATTCTGCCATACCTATGAAATACCATTGGTGCCCCTAGAAGGATGGAAGACTTGTTTGACCCAGACGGCCTACAATCCAAGATCTGGTCCGCGAAGCGTGTTTGTGAAAACCGCGCTACCTTTCACCACACCATTTCCGCCCTTCAAGAACACATTGCCAGACAGAACTTGAACTGTCAGCCAACGATTTCTCAAGAGTTTATTCCACGAAGAAATGATTGATCTGTAGCTCGTGGCTCAACTCCCTTGCTGTTGCCTTCACTGCTGCTGACCACTGCACTTCAGGGAGGTGCTCTCGATCACTGAATCTGACTTCTTGATATCGTCCAGCCAATGAGAGACCTTAAAGTATCACCGTATAGATAACGGTAATGTAAGCTACAAGAACGTCGAAGAACCATCCACGACCTTCTCACAGTCGGAATTAAGGAGTTTGAAAGTGAATGCGAATTTGCCTCCAACGTCCGCCGAACCCAGATCGGTGAACTTTCCTAGTTTCTTAGAGCGCTGCTCGACCTGAAACAAATTTTGAGGGCTAGAAAGTCTGTACGTAGTGAACCGGTAAATAAAATGTGAGAAAGTCCCTGCTTACATCCATCTGTGGGACAGTAGTTCATGAAATGCTGGATTAGATTCGGATCGTAACGAGCCTGGGTGACCAGTGCGACACTCGATGTCTCGTTCCCTAATCCATGCTTTTTTGGTTCTGGCACCGGATGGCAGGCCTTTAAGAAAGGGAATTTTGTCTTTCTTCCATCTCTTTTCGGCTCTTAGGAATTGTTTGAGCAAACACTTTATCGCTGTAAGAATAAGGCACCACATGAACTCACCAGGGTAACTCCAATGACGACGAGAGCGGAAAGGAAACGTTCCATGATTTGAATGGGGGGTCGAATTGCGATTGTGAGTAATGGGTTTCGGGATTGATCGTTGTCATTAAAGGATATCATCCATCTGTGGGAAGTAGTTCATGAAATGCTGGATTAGATTCGGATCGTAACGAGCCTGGGTGACCAGTGCGACACTCGATGTCTCGTTCCCTAATCCATGCTTTTTTGGTTCTGGCACCGGATGGCAGGCCTTTAAGAAAGGGAATTTTGTCTTTCTTCCATCTCTTTTCGGCTCTTAGGAATTGTTTGAGCAAACACTTATCGCTGTAAGAATAAGGCACCACATGAACTCACCAGGGTAACTCCAATGACGACGAGAGCGGAAAGGAAACGTTCCATTATTCGAGTGGGATTTCAGTGCGATGGTACTGCCGGTCACCACCTCTTTTATACCCCCACTGCATAATATTATGACTATTGGAAAGCAATGCTTAATAGCCTTTTGACAGCTACACTCACATTCATTTTATTCGATCCTATTCGAAATACAGGGTGGTCCAAAATCATGTTGACAGTGTGCGCACGCGAACATATCCATTTTTCTGATTTCCTTTCCTCTTTTTCTGCACCAGTGAAAAAAGAAAACCACGTCGCAGTGCTCCACAATTTAAATTTTATCGAGAAAGGGTTCGGTTACGCTACAGCTAGCGTCAGTTAAAAGTGACAAGAGGCTTGTGCGAGCTACAGTTGAGTGCTTCAGTATGTTTGAATCTACTACACTGCGTCCCATAATTATACGTCCACCTAAGAATTTCCCAAAATCTCACAGATATAGATGTTTTGAAAAAAGTCTTCAATGTAAATGCGGGATCACCAATGAACATCAATTTTCTATTTGAGATCACAGGAATTTTTTTCAATAATTTTTGTGTAAAAGGCCACTCAGCCGACGTCCCAAAATTATACGTCCACCTCACGTTTATCGATTACTTTTCACTTCTGTTCCACGAAACTTTTTCATTGTGGTAACACTTCACTTCTTAAGGGAACAGCATAATAAAGACTGCTGTTGGATTTTGAGAAAGGGAAAATGTCGCAAAAACTGTTGAACAACGCAATCGCACCAGATTTGGTCCAGATTCACGCCAAGCTTGAGAATTTTTCAGGGGTTTCACATGATATGGAGTTTAGAAGAGCTCTAAAAGTCTCTCATTACTTTTCGATGGAAACAAAGGCCGTGTTACAGAAAAAACATCCACTTTCATCCAACGGTGCTCTGTCATCGAATCTTCTTGAGAACTTTATGCCTCAACAGACTTTTGTTTCATGCATGTAAAGGAATCCCAAGATCATTCTTGATAGGAAATGTGAAAGACGTTCATTTGTGGCAAGGAATCGTGGCGAAAACTGGGCTGATTTTTGCATGAAGGTGCAGCCGAGCCGACTGAAGTAAGGTTCGCTTCTGCCCGATATGTTTTCCTTTCTCCCTGGTTTTTTTTGCAGGGTCCCTTTCTCCTTGTAATGCATGAGTGCTTGTCTGTCTTTTTTTCAACATTTTCTTTCTTTTAGTAGTGCTTCACTAAGAAAAAAGCCATTAAGGGAAAGGTAAACGTGAGAAGAGAAACAAACAAATGCCAAAACATATCGGGCAGAAGCGAACCTTACTTCAGTCGGCTCGGCTGCACCTTCATGCAAAAATCAGCCCAGTTTTCGCCACGATTCCTTGCCATAAATGAACGTCTTTCACATTTCCAATCAAGAATGATCTTGGGATTCCTTTACATGCATGAAACAAAAGTCCGTTGAGGCATAAAGTTCTCAAGAAGATTCGATGACAGAGCACCGTTGGATGAAAGTGGATGTTTTTCTGTAACACGGCCTTTGTTTCCATCGAAAAGTAATGAGAGACTTTTAGAGCTCTTCTAAACTCCATATCATGTTGAACCTCTGAATGTATTTCCAAGCTTCGCGATATTTTTCCCTTTTTCAAAATCCAACAGCAGTCTTTATTATGCTGTTCCCTTAAGAAGTGAAGTGTTACCACAATGAAAAAGTTTCGTGGAACAGAAGTGAAAAGTAATCGATAAACGTGAGGTGGACGTATAATTTTGGGACGTCGGCTGAGTGGCCTTTTACACAAAAATTATTGAAAAAAATTCCTGTGATCTCAAATAGAAAATTGATGTTCATAGGCAATTGCGTATTTATATATGATACATTGTCACATAGGAGACTTTTTTCGAAACATCTATATTCTGTGAGATTTTGGGAAATTCTTAGGTGGACGTATAATTATGGGACGCAGTGTAGTAGATTCAAAGGTGGCGGGGTCCGCTCCTCCAAGTGGTGCCACTGGGAACTGCTCACTTTTGTGAGCTGAGCTGATCGCGGACATTCGAATGCAGGCGACAGGCCCCCGTGACAGGCCGGCCTACGAACACCCACGTCACATCACAATGTTAATGTCGCTCATATGATTTCGAGATAATGCTACGGCGTCCGCGGGAGCCGACGCGCACTCGCAAAGCCCGGCGAGTGTGAAAAGTATGCGAGGGTCTCCGGTGCAAGGACGGCATCGGGGGGCAACTAGGCTAGTCCAAAAGTCCGCAACGTATGGAAGATTCGCGTTGCGACGTTAAATGTTGGCACGTTAACGGGCCGCTCGTACGAGTTAGCAGAAGCTCTAGAGCGCCGAAGAATTGATTTCTGTGCCGTGCAGGAAACGAGGTGGTCCTGCTGCAAGTCGAGGGACATTGGCCGCGGCTTCAAAGCCGTTCTCTGTGGCGGTCCCAGAACCACCATGGCGTCGGGATGATTGTCTCTGAACGCTTCCGTGATTCGATAGTAAGCGTGGAGCGCTTCGACGACCGTTAATGAAGATCGTTGTCGTCATCGAACGTAAAAATACCACTTCTTCTCTGCGTACGCTCCGCAGACTGGCTGCTCCTGAGCAAGCCAAAGACAAGTTCTGGACCCTGCTGGATGAAAAGACAGCTGAGGTACCGTCAGAAGAGCTGTAATTGTCGCAGGTGACCTCAATGGTCACGTCGGCGCTACGAAAGACGGTTACAACTGTCATGGTGGTTTTGGATATGGGTCACGTAACACCGATGGCGAACGAATTCTTGAGTATGCAAACTCGCATAATCTCACCATCGTGAACACGAATTTCCGGAAACGTGACTCCCACCTCATCACTTCTACAGCGGTAATACCAGAACGCAAATCGACTTTGTCCTCGTCAGGCAACGCGATCGAGGGCTCGTAACAGACGCAAAGGCGGTGCCGTATGAGACGGTCACCACGCAACATCGACCACTGATTTGCACGCTGAAGATCGCTCCTCCGAAATTGAAACAAATCGAGCGGTGTGGACCAGCGAGAATCAAGTGGTGGCGTTTGAAAGAGAAGGAGCGGTCGTGATATCCAACATTCAGTTGCCGGCAGTCACTACTGTTGATGAAACTTGGAAAAGTGCTGCCGAGGCGATAATCCGTTCTGCCCGTTCCGAACTCGGCACAACAAAACCTGGGCGACGGAAGATCGACAAGCAACGTGGCTATGGACGGACGATGTAAAGAAAAAGTACGTGAGAAGAAGAGGCTATACCACGTATTTCTTGGCGATAAGACTGTCGACAACTGGCGGAGTTATCAGGCAGCTAAGAATGCGACAAAGAAGGCCGTTGCTGCCGCAAAAGCTGCCACTTTGCTGATGTCAGCGAGAAGCTCGAGACACGCGATGGTGAACGAGGTTTATCGTCTTGCCAAAACC